AATACAGCCTAGGGGTGTGTAATAGGCTTTGTCACCTAGGTTTGTGTTAGAGGACACTCTATGCTGTTTGCACAATGCCCAAATCACCTAGTGATGTGTTTTTCTGACTGTATCCTCATTATTAGGGGATGCAGGACTATAATTTTCCCTCTTCAGTGTAGTAGGTGTGATGACACCACTGATCTAACCAGTGATAGATCAAGTTAATGGCCCTACTCCTTAGCCACTCCTAGGGTTCAGCCCTTTGTCACTTATGGTTCCTCCCATTAAAGGCTGGAGCAAAATTCTCCACCCTTGGGTTTGACTGTGTTGTCAGTGCTGACCAGTAAGGTGAGATCAGCTTGAAATGTAGCAGTTGTGAGTCTTGACCTGAAGGGAGCTATGTGTTTCTGTTCCTCTCTTGCACATCTTCCACCCCTATGAAAAGAACATGCCAGTCTTGCCAGCTGTTCCCTGGAAGAGAATATGAGACTCGTAGAGCAGAGCCATCCAGCTGAGCCCCATGTAGGTGGGCCAAGCCCCAGCCAAACCACAGGCTAATGAGTGACATAAATGCTCACTGCTGTGGATCATTGAGGCATGTGCGTGTTTGCTATGAAACAATAACAAGTCTATGATGCACTTCTTTGTCTCAGCTGTGTGGCAACCAGACCCCTGGATAGATGATCCTGCCCTCCAGACACTAAGTTGGCCAAAATGACCAAAGACATAGCCATGTCCACCCAGGACATCTGCCCTGCATCATTCAGTGAATAGCATGAGAGAAAGAAGAGAATCAGCATTGTCAAGGGAGCCTTACTAAGGGCCAGATGCTGTACATGCCATTTCTGTCTTGTTTTTATCCATATGCCTAAGATTATCCCACTTCACAAGGAAAGATCCTAGGCTTATTGAGAGAGTGTTGCTTGTCCCTGGACATCTACCTGGGTAGGACAGTCCTAAAAGAGTCTCTTAAATGTGGTCCTCAGAGATTGTCCATGGAGAATGGCCAAGCAAGCCCATGTGGAATCAGAAGGAAAAGGTGGAAAAGTAAAGCTAAACATCGATCCCTCTTGCTGTCCACATCAGCTCCCATACCCTTGGTGGCCTGGAGTGAGCAGTGAATTCAGCTTCTCTCAGACATGCTCCCAGGCTTTCCCAGGGATGTTGTTACTTAGACAAAGCAAATTTATCCTGGAATCCTTTGTATCCCTGTCTTAGAAAACCCTTCCCAACAGAGAGCACTAATGACATAAGAGATGTTGGAATTCTGCCTTCAAATCACAGCATTTTTGAAACAAAGGAATAACATAAGCCCGCCTCGATTATTTGCCAAGATTTCCTAATACAGCTTTGTTGTATGAAAGTGACCATATGAAAATGGAATAATGATATCTTGCATTTAAGGATGCATCTTTCTGTCTTCTGGGCCTACATTCACTTGTTTGTGGCCTAGACTGTTTTTGAAGCCCCACCGTGAGTAAGATTCCAAGGGTTCAGAGTTGTCCTATTAAATAAGTGTACCTATAACGCAGGAGCATTTCAGAACAGATGCCCTTTTATCATCTCTGCTCATGAAGAACTTTAAATTGTTTTCAGAAGTAAGTCCAACTCCTCACCTTCTTCTGCCCCTCATTACTTGAACCTCATGAGCTCTCCCAGCCCTGAATGCTCTCCCCCATTTCCCTCTACTTGTTTTCCAAGACATTAATCCGATGTCCTTGGAACCCAAGGGGCCTTCTCCAGCACTCTGGAGCAGAACCTACTCCAAACTCCTTGCTGACAGCATTGCCAATAAACCATACTCTACGGTATTTGATGCACCATATGAATATACCCTGAATAATGATCTAATGATCAGCCTGCTTTGCAAGTCCTTATCTACCTGCCTTGCCTATTGAAGAGCACACCTCTTCAGTTTAGGATCCATGTATGGAAACCTCTGAAACATGGTTAAGTACACAATAAAAATAAATGAACTGATATCACTCACTTATTTATCCTGCTTATTATTTACTGTGTATCTACATCCCACAAGAATGTATGCTCCAAGATGACAGAAATCTTTATCAGATATATTCAGTGATACATTATGAGTACATAGAGCAATGTCTGGCATATGATAGATCTTCAATAAATACTGTTAAATAAATGAATGACTGGGAGCAGAAAGTGAGAAAGGGATTTTTCAGAATTTAAGTAACAATTACCCTAATCTCTAACTACCTTGCATTTTCTTGAGAAGGGTGGAACCTTCCATATTTTAATAACCACTGTTCTCTGGATAAACAAAACAAGATATGGCCAGTGTGATGAGACCTCTCTTACCTGCTCAGTCCTGATCAGTAGGGAGCATGAGATTGTATTGGGCAGCCACCCAGGATGCCTATTTAAAGTGAAGAGACTTTGACTCCTGGATCATTATCCACCTGCAGAAGTACAGCGATCTTTATGGGAGCACTGTCTCTTCTGGTGATCACACCTCTAGAAATGATGTTATAAGGCCAGGAAATTGATTTCCTGCATTGCAAAATCATTCCCAGGGTCATCAGTGTCAAAGCCAAGTGGTTCATGGATTTTTTTCCTTTTTTGTTAAAGTGTAGTATGTTTTGTGAGTTAAGCCTAAGAAGAGGTTGTGAAATAACAGCTCATCCTTTGAATAAGTGTGGAGGCTTAATTCAGTTGACTCTAGCCCATTCCTCAGATGTGACCTGCAAAATGGACATAATCAAGAGGCCGAGGATAAGCAGAGGGACGCTGGACACATGGGGACAGGGCTGGCTGACAGTTCTTGCTGCTCAGCGTGACCGAGGAGTTCCTCATGTAATGAGTGTAGGACTGAAGGAATAACAGATACTTCCCTTCCTGGGAGCAGGGTGGTCAATTGGTAGGACAATTCCAGAGCAATACGGCTGTAGGCATTGAATTAAAATTATGCTGACATTCTAACACAAATTTTTTTTGCAGGAATTTAACTTAAAGACACTCTCTCTTGCAGGTATACAGGAAGACTAGAATGAGAAGGACATACAGAGGTCCTTATAATACATACAAGTTACAGCAAGCTATCTCATGTTGCTAGAATAGCGGATAAACATTTCTTGCTAGCCAGGCATGTTGGCATACACCTGTAAATCTATAATTTGATGTGCCCTCATTAGATTTCCCTTCTGTTGACATCAGCACTCTCAATAGACAGATGGAGGGCACATCTAAGAATTGTCCCAAGCAATAATCTTCTTTAGCCACATATGGCTGGTAAATGCTAGGAGATGACTAAGCAAAATAAAAGCCATCAATGTGAAATAAATGCTGGATTTCAAAGACTTAGTATAGAAAAAAGAGTGTAATATATTTCCTTAATAATTTGTCGTATTGATTGCACGTTGAAATAATAATATTTGGTATCCCGGTGTATTAGTTTTCTATCATAGCTTTAACAAATTACTGCAAACTAGGTGGCTTAAAACAACACAAATTTATTATCTCACAGCTTTGTAGGTTAGAATTCCAATGCAGGTCCTACTAGGATAAGGCCAAAGTTCCAGTGGAGCTGCATTCTTCTCTGGAGGGTCCAGGATAGAATCCTTTCCATTATTACTTCCAGAATCTAGATTATCTCCAACACTCCATAGCTCATCTTCCATCTTGCAGTCTGGCAAAAGCTAGTCCTAACTTCACACTTGGCATCTCTGAATTTCTTTGTCTATGCCTCAGTTGTGATTTAAATATAAAGTGTCCCCCAAAGTCTCCCATGTTCTGAGGTAGGGTTTTCAGAAGGTGACTGGATCATGAGGACACTATACTTATCAATGGATTCACTCATTGGTGAGTTCATAGCTGAAGGTGTTGTAAGGAAGTGGGGCCTGATTGGAGGTACAGGGTCACTGGGGTCATGATTTAGAAGAGTATAATGCTTGTTCCATGCCCCCTTGCTCTTGCTCTGGCTCTCTTGCTTTGTCTCTGACACTTGATCGCCATATCTTGAACAGTTTTGCTCCACCAGGCCTTTCCACCATGCTATTTGGGCCTTGTAGGCCCCTAACCATGGACTGGACCCTCTGAATCTGTGAACCAAAATGAACCTCTCCTCTTTTAAAATGTTCCAGCAACAGGAAAGTGACTAAGACATTCTGAATCTTTCACATTTAAGGACCCTTGGGCCCATACAAGTACTCCAGATAATGTTTTACTTTGAAATCAATTGACTGGCACATTTAATTCTGTCTACCATCTCAATTCTCTTTGGCTATGTAACAAAAACATTTGTAGGATTTGAACATCTTTAAGGAGGTCTTTGTTTTTCCTATTACCACTAGGCTCCAGAAAATATTTTTTTTAAATATTAATTTCACCTGTCTCTCTCTACATTTTTAAACAAGAAAATTTAAAGTTACCTGTGAAGCTCACATTTTATTTCTATTGGACAGCATTGCACCAAAACAACATGTGGGTGTGTTTTGCCAACTGTAAAGTGCTTTGGTGGTGGGGAATGTTAACTGAAGAAAATATTTTCCTCAAAATCTCTCTTGAAGGTAGCAGAACACATCCCAGCCCATGGACATAGAGAATATCACAGCAGCTCACATTTACGGAGTGCTTACTCTGTGCTAGGTTCTACACTTACCTGTTAACTGGTTTCGTCTTTGTACAAATACTGAGACCAGTACTGTTGTTATTCACATATCACGAGTAAGGATGTTGGGGTACAGAGAGGTTCTGCATGCTGCTCAAAGTCACATTGCCAAGCAGGAGAGCCCTCTCAGGACTATGCCTGCGTTAATTGCCAGTTTGCACTCTAAGGCACATGAAGCGCGCAGGTCCTAGCTACAACTGGTGAAGGCCAGTGCTCTGGAGCCCACCTGGCTCTCTACTAAGAAACTGTAAATGACCCTGCTTCTTGGTGCCACCTGCAAGAGCAATAAGCCAGATCTCTAACTCCAACCTAAAGTAAGCTTTCCCCAGATATCCATCTTGTGGTGTCCCTCCAAATGTCCTATAGTTATGAAAGTATAGCTTACCTCCATATGTGGCTGATTTCCATCAAGCAGACAGCAGCAGAAGCCATGAGATGCAAGATAGGTCCCCAGTTCTAAGGTCTTAAATAAAAGCACAGTTTGGTTACATGCACACACGTTCAAATACACACACACATCTGTCACAAAGACAGAATTTAAATATCTCTCTATACTTAAAATATGTGGACATTTTGAACTGCAGATATATCTTTTTATATATACTGATGTATGTGTGTGAGTTCGTCATGCACTTTTATCTTTCTCATTTATTTAACCACCTCCTTCACTGTCAAATTACATCTCCGCAGCTCAAGATTTCTCTACAGAGTTCCAAAGTCCGTGACATTTTATTTACATTCTTTTATAGATCCTAGGAGTGTGTGTGTATCTGACATGGAATAACCTGATCATCACATGTGTATGAATAACTCTATATGTCCACATTCATCCACTCCACCAAGAGGCATACTTTTTAAATTAGTTTTATTTTGGTGACCCTAGGGTCCAGATCCCTCAGATTGATGTGATTTTCATAGTATATTTAACCAAAGCCACTCACATATTGAAAAACATGCACACCTGGAACTACATTTTATTTAGTCTCCTCTTTTTAAACTACTCTCTGCTTGGCCTCCATTTGGGCAAATGCAACATTTGAGAAAACAGAAGAGATGTTTTCTGGACCTGCATCTGCAGTTCCTGGTCTCTGCATTCCTCTCAGGATCCCCTTGCTTTTTGGCCACCTTCTTAGCCTTGATCTGGAGAATTCGCTTAGGCAGACTATAGCTGGATTTTGTTCTATAGTTAGGTTTGGCAAACCCTTTCTATAAACAGCCACATGGTAAATATTTTAGGCTGTGCAAGCCACATGTTGTGTGTTACCCCTCAACTCTGCCACTCCAGGGCCTGAGTCATATGCAATGTGTCCATGAATGGCCATGGCCTCGTTTTCAGTAAACTATGTCAGAAACCTGCAGGGGCCCTGCATTTGGACACTGGTCAGGCCTGGCTGAACCCTGCCACATGTCAGCATGGGTCCTTGTTCCCTGGTACTGATAGACCATTTTCACATGTGTCCAGTTGGTGTGCCTGTGTAGTATCCAAGAGCCCAAAGGAAAGAGAATTCATTAGCAACATTGCCCAACATCACCAGGAGTGAGACTCGCGCAATGACTTCAAGCATCATTATTTCCCTACCTGCTTTTATTCTCCCAGGGCCACTCCTTAAAGAAAACAACTCGGGGGGCCGGGGATTCAGCTCACTGGTTTCACCGCCTGCTGCGCAAGCTCAAGGACCTGAGCTCGATCCCTGGTACCTAAAAAAAAAAAAAGAAAGAAAGGAAGAAAAGAACTGGGTCCTATTCATTGAGTTTCTCAACACGAGCACAAGGCCTGGCACATAGAAAGTGTTCAGTCATGGTTAAAGGGGGGAAAAAAGCTGATTATTACTACATGGTCTCTTAAGACTTTAATTATAGTGTTTACTCAAGACTTTTTCAGAAAATGATGACAACGTTCTTAAATAGACTATGTAAATGTGACAATTACCTGACAGTCAAATGAAATGATATTTTATGTTAGTCTTACAGTTGGAGAGGGAAAAGTTACCTCCCGGACCAATAAAATTTTTCCAAACACTTGCATGCATGAATGGATAGATGGTTTTTCTCACACATTCTTGGATTTTCCTGAAGCATTAAAGAACTAGAAATCTGACCACTTTTCTCTCTCCTACCCCATGGTACGTATCACTTTTTCATCATAGAATTTCTTTACTACTGAGGCCAGTCCTAACCCCAGGATTCATGTTAACTTCTCTCTCTAAGCAGCCACTTACAATCACTCAGGGCTGACAAGTGTTACGAAATGTCTTTGCTCTCCCTAAGTCAGGTGTTTGTTGAGTGCGTACAATGTGCTTAGCATGAGTTAGGATTGGCTAGGTTAACCCAAAATAGCAATGTAACAAAGAATCATGGCCCACCCAGGAGCGTTAAAGTTAAGTGCCACTGGCATTCAGAGAGACCCCAAGACCTGGAACACAGGGAAGTGACGTAACAATTCATGTTCTTGGAGCATTCACTATGTGCCGGGCCATACACTGTCTCTCATGCGCCCCCATGCAATTGCACGGCAGCTAGAGAGGTAGGTCTCTTCCATTAGCTAAAAGAACACTGAGATTTCTAATCCACCTAGCAGCTGGTGCTGGCACCCAAGTCTGAGCATATGAAGCCATGAAGCCCAAAATGATGGACTCAAGAAGGAACTTGAGAAGCAGACATCAAGTAAGTCTGTGGGCCTTACAGAAAGCACAGGCTTTCTTGGAAATGAGTGTGCTCTTAGGCCTGCCTTGGGATCAGCCTGAAAGAGTATGAGTGCACATGTCTGAATGGATAGGCAGGTGGGTAGATGAACAGGTGAGGGCCAGTTTAGCTAAAGTATAAGGATTGGTAGCATTGAGGTTGCAAAAATAAAATGGAGCTGACTATCAAAGGTCTGGAATACCAGTTTTTAGAGACTGGATTTACTCTGTACTGGAGTAGAAAGAAGTGTGACAAGGGCAGCCAAGAGGTACAATTTTTGGTGAGATGCTTTAAAAGATGAGCATTGCCCAGTGATAGAAAGAACCAAGCAAGAGTCAAGTAGCCCACAGAGATGCTGACAAGCCTGCCTAGGTCAGGAAGAGCTCTGTGAACTCGCGGCTCATGAGGTGTCATCCTAAGAGCTCTGTGACATTCACTCATTGAATTCTCACATTCAATGAGCAGGTGGCAGCTGGGATTTTGATGTGGGTGAGCTGTTTCCAGATCCCAGACCCTTGACCTTGGCATCTTCCTGGTGGTCAGCCAGTGGTCCAAGGGGCAGTAAAGGGAATATGTGTGGCGTGGTAGGAGGGAATGGAGGGGTAGGCTCCAAGAGAGAAATGGTAGTTTTGTGACTTCTGGCAGGATGGACTTCTGAGATGATGATAACATCATGCTATTGTCCATAGAAACTCAAATCCACCACAGTTCGTGCATTCTCACCCTTGGAGAGTCATGTACAGCTGGACCTCTAGAGGGTACTTAACAAGAGCTTCTGAAAGATGAAATCTCAGCCAGGCATGGTGACACAGGCCTATAATCCTAGCACTCAGGGAGGCTGAAGCAGGAGGATAGATCCTCAGTTGAAGCACAGCTTGGACAACTTAGCGACTTAGCAAGATCCTGTCTCAAAAAATAAAATGGATTGTAAAGGAGCAAATTTCCAATGATGAATGTCATTATATTGTATACCTAAAATGTACTAATAAAATTAATTTTAAAAATAAATAAATAAATAAATAAATAAATGATAAAATGGATGGGCTAGGGTATAGCCCAGTGAGAAGGCCCTGGGTTCAATCCCAGTACCACCAAATAAATAAATAAATAAATAAATAAATAAATAAGGAAATCTCAGGCCTGTAGGACTGAACATGAAGAAACATCTAACGTTTCTTTGTGAAAGTAACGCACTAGATGCTTTTCTCAACACTTCCCCAGCCACTTGCAGCTTAGCATTGTGTTCGAGCAGCAGTAGGTTCTCCACACACACGGAATGAATGAGTTGGATAAAGGAATGAATGAGTGGATGGAGCGATGGCAGAAGAAGTCCTGGAGTCAGAGCCTCTTGAACCAGGCTAACCTTTTCCATCCCCTTGTTAGATGGGATTTAGGCAAGTTACATTGAACTCTCTGGACCTCAGTTTCCCCAGTGGGATAGGTGTGTCACCAAGTGACTTCAGAGATTCTAAGGACCCCGTGTGAATCCTGGCTACCGTCCTGGCAGCAGGTAATGAGTGAGGTAGAGCTATCAGGGTGTCCCATCTCTCTTCATTTTGTCCCACTGGGGTAGCGGTAGCTGGAATGCTTTTCTCTATTTGCAACAGGACATCAAATGGTTAACACATCGCCTATCGTCTTTGATTTATGAAGTGTCGGGGCCGACTGGACCAGGAATCACAACAGAGACAGCCCTTCTCACACACAGAGGGAGACCCCAGAGAGCAGTAATTCTGTGTGTGCCAAGACGAGCAGCCGCCGTGGGCCTCAGTGGTGTTGGAGAGCCCATCTTGCCTAGCCTATCCCAGGATGATGTCAGGGCCAGCATGTGTTCCTGCTCTGTGCAGAGAGAGAAGCAGCTTTGCCACCTGGCCTCTGTCATCCACCCATCTCTGGAACCTTAGCTGCCCATCCTTTGCTCGAAGAACTGAAGTGCAGCCCTGCCCAGGTCACTGCTAAGCATTTCCTTTCAGTGTCTGCCAATCTATCAAGATTCAGCTACCGCTGTGAACCCATCAACTCCATGCAAGGGAAAAAAGGAATCCCTCACAGCAATTATTTATCCTGGCCTGAACTTCAGGTGACCTTTCCCAGTTCCACAGAAGTTGCAGTTGGGAGCACCTTGGTGGGCAGGAATTTCTCACACCCTCCCTCCTTTTAACAAACATGTGAATGGGTGGGGGGACTGCAAGCTCTCTTGTGCAAAATTTTCTTTTGCAGCAAGATCTTTGGGTGGTCAATAAGCTAGGATAGGTGTGTAAATGGGAGTTGATATTAAGTGGAGGGGAAGAAGAATCCTGTGACCTCCTGAAGACGGTTCTGAGGAGATCTGAGTACCTTTCACACAGCCCAGCCCACCTCTTGGAGTTAAATAAGAACTGTTCTGCACCAGGACCTGGAGAGATCCAATACTGTCAACTCCAAGGGTGTGTGTTTGCGTGGTCTGTGTGTGTATGTGTGTGTGTGTGTGTGTGTGTGTGTGTGTGTCCCCAACTTGGGGATATAATAAGGCCATAATAAGGGCTATGCAGGGTGTAACTCCCTGTGTAAATTTAAAGTGACCTAAGGGACATAATTACATAAATCTCATCATGAGACAATATACTTTTTATTTGTTTGAATTTTATTTGTATTGGTAAAACTGACCTGAAACTGACACAAGTTTATTAGAAAAAGGACTCTGTAAAAGCGAGTGGGCTGGTCTTCTTATTTAAGATGGATGTGCCAACTTCTAGTATGATTAGAGAAATGGATAACTCACTAACATCTGTGCAAACTACAATAAAAAGGGATTTAGTGTTACCCCAAGGAAGGCAAGAGAGGCTGTCTGTCCATTAAACGCTTTATTACAGCGCCGGCAGCTTTGTTCTAATTCAGTTATTCCTGCACGGCGTTCAGTACTCTGACTGCCTGTCAACCCAGCAGACAGTGCTCGGGGCTGGGAGGTTTTGTGCAAGGTAGGTGACAATCAAATGAGCCACTGAGAAGAGAGGGGTGCCTGACCCTCGTGAAGGATTAACTACAGAAAGTGAGTGTGATCATGTCACACCATTACTTAGAATTTTCACAGTCAATTTCTGAAAATATGAGATAAGTTCTTAAAGAGGCAGTTGTCTCGGGAGCTCAGTGGACTTGGCATGGTTTTGTTATATGCTGCCTGGCAGGAGACCTGGGGAAAGAATGGGTCTGCTGGGGACCAAAAGTGGATAGAGCCTGCCCTGTGCCCACCCTGTTTAGAGCGCCTTCCCTGAAGACCTTGGCACCATTTGATTCTAGCAGCGATGTAGGCAAGAGGGAAGAAGATGAAGAGATGCATCCTGTGGCCAAGATGTCCTTTCAATGTACTGCTCTGGATCCCAGAGTCCTGGAAATGGCTTCATGAATAGGCACAACCCTGTGACAATCAGGTCAAGTATGGGGTCCACAGGAAGCCTTCCTGGATCAGTTGCTTGAGATGCTTGACCCCACATTGGGCCAGAAGGAAAAGGCCATCTCCCATCTTCCCTTCCCACCTGCTGCAAAAGCCATTACCAATGCCATCACAGGCTACCCTAGAGGACTATGGGTCTCTACAGCACGCAAGGGGATCCAGACCCACAAGACCTCACAGCGTGCCACCGAAGCAGGATACATGCTTTAAAAACACACCCGGGGGCTGGGGCAGGGGCTCATTGCTGGAACGTTTGCCAAACATGCATGAGGGCCTGGGGTCCCTTCCCAGCATTTCAAAAAATGAGAGAAAGAAAGAAAGAAAGAAAGAGAAAAATAATAAAAGCATAGTGTCAACCCTCAGTACTCTCAGGCAATTGTTTCTAAGAGTCCCCACCATGCCAAAATCTATGGATGTTCAAATGCCTTATATAAAACAGTACAGGATTTGAATGTAACTTACACAGATTATACTATAATACCTGAAACAATGTAAATATGATATGAATACTTGTTATACTCTATTGTTTAGGGAATAATGACAAGGACAAAAGTCTGCACATTTCAGTACAGACATGACTTTTAAAAAATA